GATACTTGACAGTTTGGGACAGTGACTCTCTCTGTAATAAGTGTACTGTACCCAGCACAATGGGGTACCTGACTGGGGCCTGTCAATATTTATCTGGAGTAATACTTAAAAGCCAGATGTGGCAGAAGGTGGGAGCTCAGCTACTGCATGTTATCTTAGTGCTTATGCAGCTAAAATCCAACAGGACTCACTAGAGCAGTGGTTCTCAACCCACAGCCCAATCAGCACACAGCTGCAGCCCATGTGACATCCTCAAGGCCATACAGGTAGTATTGGATGCCCACAATGGGCATGCTGAATATGTTGAAAGCCAAATCTCTCTCTTGGCACAGGGATCACTAAGCAACACAAAATCTGTCTCCTCGCTCATTTTGTGTGCAAAATTACTATTAGCATTAACCATCGCGAGAGTGCAGGATGGAGTAAGCCACAGACTCCTTGTTGAGAGAGGGGGGGGGGGTGTGTCAATAAATCAGTAAGAGTTGTTCTATTTTGTGCATTACAGTAGATCCTGTTAAAGCTAAAGTTTCCAGTCTTTGGTCACTGCAGGATTGGGGCCTACGTTGCCAAAGGCTTATGCACACATAAGAACAGCCATATTGGGTCATACCAAAGGTCCATCTAGCTCAGTATCCTGTCTTCCGACAATGGCCAGTGTCAGGTGCCCCAGAGGGAATGAAAAGAACAGGTAATCATCAAGTGATCCATCCCCCGTCGCCCATTCCCAGCTTCTGGCAAACAGAGCCTAGGGACACCATCCCTGCCCATCCTGGCTAACAGCCATTGATTGACCTATCCTCCATGAATTTATCTAGTTCTTTTTTGAACCCTGTTATAGTCTTGGCCTTCACAACATCCTCTGGCAAGGAGTTCCACAGGTTGACTGTGCGTTGTGTGACAAAATACTTCCTTTTATTTGTTTTAAACCTGCTGCCTATTAATTTCATTTGGTGACCCCTAGTTCTTGTGTTATGAGAAGGAGTAAATAACACTTCCTTATTTACTTTCTCCACACCAGTCATGATTTTATAGACCTCTATCATGTCCCCCCTTAGTCGCTTTTCCAAGCTGTCCCAGACATAAGTAGTCCCATTGCAATTAAAGGGGTTACTCATGTGCATAAGCCTTTGCAGGAGTAATGCCTCTGACAGAATCATGTAGGGCTGAACAAGCCACATTCAACAGCGAATTTATAATGACTGGAAGTTATCTTCAGTTACACTTCCTTGCAGTTCTTGCTATTTAAAGCAAGATTCACTCAGAACCCAGTTAAAAGAACACAAAGCAAAATAACAGTGTTAACAAGGAAAACATTCAAAGAAAACAATTCAAGGATTTTCTCTTTTCTCATAAACCTCTGGCTCATTATTTATAAAAATAAAGGGGACAAACAAAGAAACCCATCAACTTTGTTGTTTCAAGGATCTCCAGTCTCCATGTATTACATGTTACAGAACTGACCTAAGAATGCTTCAGCAGATGATAGATGGATAATCACAGCAGCCACCTCCTGATTTTTTTAAACATTAAGTCCAAGATTGCACAGCCGAGTTTCCAGCTCCTCCAGACATAAAACTGGTACGCAACTGGTTCTTCCCACTCACCATGTTTTATCAATACACATGGGGCAGTGCCAGATAATTTTGCAGGGGATGAGCAATAGTGGCTGCACAAAGTAGTTCCTATTTGTAGAAATTATCTGCTTCGTAAGTAGCACTAATCTGCTAGTCTAGGACAAATACAACTAACGAAAATGACAGTTTATATTTAATTGCCAAAGACAGGCTGTAACAAGTAAAAAACTGAACAGTATCTACTATTGTCAACAAAAATCAGTGTATGATGCTTACAAGTTTCACCTAAGCCTGGCAGACAGAACTTTGTTCTGTATTCAAGAAATAAACAGTCCTGGGTAGAAAGGCATCACCCATTATGACGGGCAGTAAGTTAAATTTTCTGGGGCTAATGTTCTTATTGGACTGGCAGGTCTTTAATCCACAGCCGGGCCCTGATTCTGGATTTTCTCTCACCAGTGAGAGTCAGGAGTAACTCCACTGAAGTGGAACTATTTGGTCCAGGGTGGACTGATTTAAGTCAGAGCAATTTAAATCACTGATTTTAATCACCAAGCAGAAAACCCTGATTTAAATCTTGTTTTGCATTTGTTCTGCATAGTGGTCTTCCTAAAGAAAAGTTGATTCTCATTAGTTAAAACATGTTGATTTGCAACTAAATATAGCCTTTATGCTAACTTTGGTACTTAGTCTATCCTCCTGGTGAGCAAAATGTCTATGCACATTTAGATAAGCAATTATATAGCTTAATATACAGTTATTCAGAGTTATCAGCTAGGAAATAAGTGCCTCATTCACCATTTTAGTGTGTTAGAAAGTAAAGTATTCATTTTCTTTATTTGTGATTTGTGTCAATCTCTATCTGGATGAAAATCAGAATTCAATTAATGCATAAAACAGCATTTTAATTGTTTCTATTAGTTAATTTTATTTAAGTGTACTGGATACATAAGAAAAGACGTTTATTAAAACATTATTTGCATTTAAAACTGATGCATTAAACAAAGGCAGTATTATCTGTAGTCAGAATTGAAGAGATGGTTGCTGTTTCCATGTTCTTCAAGATTTTAAAGCTAATAAATCTCATTCTTTCACACCTACTTTTTATTCATAGATTGGCAGAGGGAAACAAGCTTTCCTGCTTTTTCAACTCCCGATTGGTTTCTCTACTAGTTATTGAACTGAACTAGTTGAATAAATTGAAATAAAAAAAAAATTCTCTGCACCTGCAGAAGAGACTACTGCACTGTCAAAAGCTGGCTTAGCACTTCAACAAACTCTGGTTCCATGTGCTTAGCCAGTGGCTTCCACCAGTTGAGTTGTTTGATTTTCTTTAAAACTTGGCAGCAAACTGCGTAATATTATTGTTTATATTTAATTTAAATGATTTTAACACATTATAAGTATAGGCTTTAACACAGGTTGCCATAATTTCATATAAAAACAAAAATTACAAAAAAAAATCAGACTTTTTAATTTAAAAATCGGGGTATTTTTAATCATCAATATGTATTCACCATGATATGGTAATAAGATTGGTGTGAGATCAGAACCAGGCCCAATATATCTGTCTACACAGAATGAGTTGTGGAGTAGTTGTCCTAGTGTGTATGATCTTGGAAAGTGCAGGCAGGGGAAGGGCAACAAATGGGACATTGTGTGCACATTTCTAGCTACTTTACATCCCTGGCCTCCAGGAGTGTGGATTCCATGAATGAGATGTAAACATCAACTAACAGACAATGCAATATTGAAGAAAACTAAATCTAATAATGCCAAGGTGGTGGGTGATATGGCATATATCAGCTTGTACTTGTATATAGGGAGGACAGACTTTCTTTAGAAATAAGCCCAGTAATACTTCTGGGGGACCTGCCTCAAAATTTCAAGGAGCCCTAATGGCTGGCTTATATCCATGACAGCAGTGTATTAGGGCTGCAGGGAGGACATGCAACTGGGTTATGAACTGTGATCATCAGCACTTTGACAGGGTTCTTTCCTGCAGACAAGAGCTGAGATGCAGAGAGAAGGGAGCTGTGGGATTGGATTTACAGAAAGGATCATTTTTGGAGCAGAAAACTAGAACTGGGAGCGACAGAAAAGGAAGCCTCTTTTGGGTCTCAAGCTATTTTAGTCTCTCCCCTTTAGCAGCTCACTCTTCCTAGTAGAGAGGGGCCTGGATCAGAATCCCAGATCCAAGGCTCCCCAGAACTTGGGGAATGTTCCGATCTTTGCAGCTCAAAATCATCTCCGCTAAACAGCGTGACTATCTGGGCCTCCGGCGCAATCTTACTGCTGTTTGTCCATCTCTCAAAGAAGATGCATCTCCAGTCCTGACATGCAGCACACTGAGCTAATATGTTCCTATTTCTTTGCTTCCCTTATTCAAAGGACCAGGCATGGCTGCACTATTTACATGGCAACATATCAAAGGAGCCCACATCATGCAAGCAGCTTGTGTAGACAAGGCCTAAAGACAAGAGTTGCACTGCTTTACCTATAGCTTACTATATAGATGTACCAGTGAGGTTAAAGCAGCACAATGCCCCCCAGTATGGATGCATTTGTATCAGTAACCCAGCATACTGGCATAACTGCATCCAAACAGGGGTTGTACTGGTATATTTCAGTAAAAAAATAAATACCATACCAACAGAAACAGTTATACCAGTACAAAACTGGTGTGTAGATCAGGCCCTAGAGTTACTGCATAATCGTTGTCACTTGTGTGCATTTATTTACATGCTTTGAAGTGTGTTGATTCTGTTTCGTGCATGCAACACTGTTTGCAACAGCTGTGATGCTAGGAGCAAATAGAGAGTTTCCATTTTTCTCTATTTCCCCTGAGAAGGGAATTCTCAAGTGCATGGTAAATTGTGGAGTTAACAGAAGGTGCAACTGAGTTAACTGAAGTTGTAAAGTATCTGACTAATCACCAGCTGTAGGATACAAACAAGGTCCTTCATTTCAGCCCCCAACCCCCCTATAGGACACTTGCCCATGGGAATTTCTGAACACACAACTTTATACTTACTGGAGATGGAGTCCGACTCCAGTTTACATGCGGAAAGATCTTCCAACGAGGTGTTACTGCCTTCCGCACCCACACCACACCCCCGGGGTCCCATGGCAGAAGACCGTCTCCTCTCGTGGATCTCATCTGAGATCATCTCCAGGTTTTTCAAGGCTGTTTTGTACTCTCCCTTGGCTAGGGCCAGCTTTGCCTGCAGGTCATCCACAGTCTTCTTGAATTGCTAACGAGGAAGGCAGATGGGGTTTCTTTAAACCATTGCGGATTTCAAACAAATTCTCATTATGTAAGGAGGGAAAAGGGGGCTTCATTTCCCCAGCTAAGCAGGCAACATGGCCTAGTTGATAGAGCACTGGACTGGGACGCAGGCGACTTCTATTCCTGGCTCTGCCACTGGCCTGCTGGGTGACCTTGGACAATTCATGTCTCTGCTCTGTGCCTCAGTTCCTCATCTGTAAAATGGGCATAATGGGGATCCTTTGTAAAGTGCTTTGAGATCTACCAATGAGAAGTGGTATATTAGAGCTAGGTATTATTAAATAATTTGAGTGTATAGGTTAAAATGTAACTAATAATTTTGCTGCACAGATGATGAGAGGGATTTTTAGTTGAAAAGTACCTCGATTATGCAACAAGCCAGGGAAGTTGTGAGGGGATACGTGGGGGGGAAAACGAACAGTTGTGGTGTTCCAGTTTGAATGAACACTCCAGTGCATTGGAAAGGATTCTCTGTGTGTCACACAGCCAGGAATGGTGCATAAGCCTCTATTAGCCTGAGGGCAGGTGATCCATGTTAAGATGAAGAGCTAATGAAAGTGCTTAATAATAGACTATGTTTATTCTGACCATTTATTGAAGTGAATGGACACGCACAACTAGCAGAAAACTATTTGGGACAGTTCTCCAGTTCCTGATCACCTAGACTGGGCTCTGGAGCAATTGGGGGCATTACTGCCACATGTTGGAACAAATGCCTAAATCTGAATGTGCCTGAGCGGAGCTATCGTATATACCCTCAGCAATTCACTAGCTGACAGCATGAATGCTAACAGTCCTTGCCTCTCCCCCTGCAGGATAAGGGAATAGGAAAGGCTGAACAGCTCCACTTGGCTCCAAATAGATGCAGGAGGTTTTCCGGGCAGAAACAAAACTAACCCATCACTTCCTGGTCACTAAAACTGCACACATGAGTTCGGACCCAGGTGGCAGCAGGCTTCAAAGCCTTGAATATTGTAGTGTGCAGCTTTAACTGCCCCTTCTTTCCCCCTCCAGGCACAACCCCCCTTCCACAGCTAGGAGAGAAGACTGGTGTTAAGGAGTACGACAAAGAGCAAACATGAAATACAGCCTGTGACAGGATGGGATAGGACAGTATCAATTTATGAACTCCATTTTGTATTGTATGTTGAACACAAGACAACTTGCCTGAGGGCAGCCTACTGTACTGCATTTTCAACAGCTGCCCTGGGGCATATCAAAACCTGGGTAAAAATTACAAGCTGTCACTTTAATTTTCAGGGGGTTCCTGCTCCTGCTTGCAGGCTAAAGGGCTCTGTAGGGAAGCATGTGATCGGTCTGTGGATAGACAGCCTAGAGTAAGGGGAGGGTGAGTTGCGCCTCTCTATTTTAGGGAGCCGCCTGGCTTGTCACTCTCTGGTTTTGGCTCTTGTACGTTATCATTCTGAACTCTAAGAAATAGAGTTATGTAGCAACCTTCCTGCAAGAGCACTTCTGTTTTTATCTAACTTCTCCATGTGCCTGCCATGAACATGATATGCCCTGCCTCTGCGAAAGACACTTGACACCACAGAGCTGAAGGACTATCATCAAGAGAGCAATCTAGGGCCACCAACTTTGCTGTCTTTCAACCACTGGCCCCACTCCCATGGAACAATGGTTTCTTTGCACAGGGGCTCACAAGGTAGGGCAGACATGACTGGGGGTGGGGGTTTGGGGCCCGCCTACTTCACAAGTGGAAACAGTCTCTTTTGGCCTTTTATTTTTAAAACAGGCTTCGTGTATTCCTCAACATGAAGCGTTTGGAATGGAATGTACTTTGTACAGAAATGCAGAGTGATTATAGCAGCCCTTTGCAGTGTATTTAAAATTTTTTACTGCAAGCAGTCATTACTAGATCTGAATTAGATACATACCTCTAGCTGTACATAGTACTTTGCCTTCAGTTCAAAATAAGGCCTGTGGAAAAACAAAGAATAATTTGTTACAGTTGCTGGGATAACAGGGGATTGGAGTAGGAGAGAGGCTCTGGCCCAAAGCATTAAAGCAGTTATGTCTTATGCCAGCAATTTAATCCTCAGGCTTGCCTATCTAAAATGTAAACATCTATAAAGTTGCACACACCAACTTTAAGCACAAATAGTCACACTGTAGCAATGTGCTTTCAAGTTAGGTAAATGCTTAAGCACCTTGTAGAATCAATGTCTTAACCCTCTAAAAATGGATAGAGTTTCCTCCTTCCCCACCCCCTTCTTTTTAAAACACAATTCTTGGGCACATACACAGATCTTTGGTGTTTTTTTAGAATGCTGGAAGTAAAATGCCTGTCTCTCTCCAGACTGCAGGCAGGAGTCAGATGAACATCTGCACAGTTTTCCCTCCAGCTGCACGACACTCCAAGGTTTTGTCCTTGCTCAGTCACAAAACAGAAAGATGCTACACTTGAGCTGTTTCCTGCTTTATTTATAGCATCATCAGATATCAAGTAGACAAAAGGCACAGTTTAGAGCCAAGAATGCACGTTCTATTCCAAAGCTTTGAAGACAGAGTCATCAATTTGATGCTACACGGGGCAATAATAAAATCATCTTACTCAACTGAGATAGACCTTCCAAGCACTCGCACATTTCAGAAGCTATCCCAATCAAGGCCAGGCAGTTGAATAGTCAGATAAGTCTTCACATACAATCAAGACTTCAATCACTACCCTGTATTTCCATACTGTGAGCTAGATTCTGAGATACCAACTACCATTGAGTAGCACCACACTCTGCAAACAGTCCCACTGAAGTTTCTTGGAGAGCAATGTGTTACTGAATATAAGGGTGCCAGAATCCAGATTTCAAGTACCAGACACGTAGATATGGTTAACCTGGCTCATAATTCGAGCTCATCTAATAAAACCTGACCTGCACAGAACAGCCAAATTCTAGATTTGTCAAGAATTCTTTGTTTGGATGCATCGCACACTCTTTGGGTTCCCTACAGCCCACTGTGCACTACAGATATTTGTAACTCAACAGCCCTTGCTCCATTTTCGTAACACGTGAAACACACTTCTCTGTTTACTGTATTATCAAAAACATCTCGGGCTGCACTGCGACTCTACACCCTCAGGTAAGTCGCTACTCCACTGGCGGGCCCATTAACAACTATTCATATGGCTGTAACTGCCCACCATTGGAAGCAGGGATTCACAATCTGGCTCTGAAAATTAAGAATTTGTTGTCCTCTTTCCATTTAGCCTCCTCACGTAATTGATCCTTACGAAGAAGATTAAGCTACTCTAAAATTCAAACACATTCTATGGAATCTATACACAACCCTGGTTCAAAGTGAAGGTTTCTCCTGAGGCCCCTCGGTTCCACCCTAATTTTAGGCTAAACAATGCAAGCCAGTCAAGTCACAGTGCTCTCCCTACCGCATGGGAGCAACCAAGCTTGGTTCCTGGTCTCATTCCTTGGGGCATCCCACCAGCTCTTAGTGTGGGAGAAAATCAGTGCCTTATAATTAAGGCTGCAAGTTTGTCACGGAGGTCACGGACTCGTGACTTCTGCACCGGCCGGTGCGCCTGGCTCAGGGGCAGCTCAGGCAGTCCCTGCACCAGGTGCACCGGCCACTGCTGGGGCAGTCTCGCCCCCACACAAGCATTCCCAGCCAATGGGAGCTGCGAAGCCAGCGCTCTGGGCTGAGGCAGCATGCAGAGCTGCCTGGCCACGCCTCCGCCTAGCAGCTGAGTGAGGGGGATGTTGCCGCTTCCCGGGAGCCCCCAAGTGAGTGCCACCCCACCCCACCCACCCCCCTCACCCCGTCCCGTACCCCACACCCAAACTCTGCTGCTGGGAGGGGAGGGAGGAGGCGCAGAGCCAGGTAGGGAGCCTTCCAGCCAGCCCCGCCAAACCCTCCCCCAGCGCCAGCAGGGGTCCCAGGCCGTGCACCCGCCCCCCCACCAAGCAGCCAGCACCACCACCCCCAGTCTCTCACACACACACACACACACACACGTTTTATTCTCTGGTATTTTCAGTAAAACTCATGGACAGGTTACGCGCCGTGAATTTTTGTTTACTGCCCGTGACCTGTCCCTGACTTGTACTAAAAACACCCGTGACTAAAACATAGCCTTAGTTATAATATTTTATATATAGGTTTTTTTATGGTGTTTACCACTGCCATAGTATCTGAGCAATTCGAAGAGTCATTAGCTCAGCCTCAACATCCCTGAGATGCAGGAAAGAATTTTTGTTTCCATTTTTCAGATACAGAATATGAGCAGCTTTTCCATGGGGAAGAAGTTTGTTTTTTACATCCCCTCTACCTGAACTCATGACAGTAGACTCCTATTCCCCATAAAAATCAGTGGGATTGTCTTCTGTTTAAATGATGAAGCTCGCATGAGAAAATGAAAAGTCTGATGTTCTGAAAAGTTTTGCAGTGTTAACTAATTAAGCCTTGGAACGCCTCTGTAAACTGTCAAGGCATGTAGTAGGGTCATTCCACTCACCACTGCCATAGAAAGCTCTGAAGTGAAGTGTTGCAGGACACAGCATCCTTACACAAACAGTTTGGGGCAGGAGGGGAGGAATCTATCTCCATTTGACACTGCAAGGTGAATCGAGGGTAGCAGAATGTACCCAAGGTAACAGCTGGTCAGGGCACCAGGATGAACACCCTTATTCTTATGAAAAGGTCCATAAGACCTCAATGGTAAGTGGTCAGGACCTTCGTTTTCCATCCCATTCAAATAAAGGCTCTTTTGGTAACTTAATGCCCCTACCACCACTCTGATCTAGAGGAAAGAGTGCCATCTGCTGAACTGCAGAATATTTATTTCAGCACCTATGGAGGTTTCCCATCCAATACTGGCACCCTGCTTATCTTATCTTATCATAGAAACACACCGCACAAGGTGGAATGGCTGCAGGCTACAGATATGTGGCAACAACATGTGAGAGAGAACACGTGCTCAGAGTTTCCTTGGAAAGTACCAATACTTGTATATGTATTGAGCAAAATAGTAACAGACATTGATAAAGTCATTTTTAGACTGAGGGATTAAACACTAAATAAATGATCACTGTTCAGTCAAGCTGCAGAAAATGGAAATTATTAAAATTAAAAATATTAGTTGGAGATTCCCTGAAGCTTTTTCACGGACAGTGAGCAAGTATTACAAAAGGCTGCTTTTCTAGACGACCACCACAATTGCATAGACTCCTATGCAGCAGAGGAGAACCACACACCAAACACATTTTATCATTTATCACACACGCTTCTTAGCTATGCCCTCTGAAGCGTATGCCTTTCCACGAGAATAGCTCTCACGTGACTTGCCAAGAAGGCTCCGGAAAGCGAACAAATCTGACGTTCGATATGCAGCTCTGAGGTAGTCTCACATTTTTGAAGTTTTTAATCAATAGCCTTGCTGCTTTCTTAGCCAGGGTAAAGTTCTGTGACCATGTGGACTGGGCTGCAAGTCAGACACCAGCTACACTATCTGTGCAGCCTCCTGGCAGATTCAGCATGGACGGAGTCCTGAAAGCCACGTGCATGAAGCACCCCATGCAAGTAGGCTTAACGTGTAAACGCACCACCAGCTAAAACACATACTTGGATTTATTGATGGCCCTTTTCAGTTTCTTCTCTAGCTGTTTCATCCGGCCCATGGCAGCATTGTATTTGGCTGCCGTTTCCTTGTGCACCAGCTCACTTCTTGTTTTCGTCTGCTCTGCCTCCATGACCTTCAAGAGAGGAAACAAAGGGTTTGATTTGTAGCAGGCATGTCACATGCTTATCAGTTTCATATAATTTTAATTAACAGCATTTCGATAACCTCTCTGAACCTCTCACAGTATAGCAGGGTGGAGGGGAGATACAGAAGAGAAGAGACATCTTCTTTCAATTAACCTACTTCGAAAAATCTTTCTTGGAAGAAACAGCAGCACGTCTGGTTAGCAAATAAAATATTAACGATACAAGGAGCATACTGCTGCTTAGTGCATTCTGGGGGAGCTTTGGTATAAGCAGCCTCAAATGTGAGAGCTCAGTACCCCTGCAACCCCAGTGAGATGTTCAAGATCCACTAGCACGGCTCCATTCTGAGCTACCATATCATCCCTGTTATTTCCCCATTCTCTTCCACAAGTGAGCTATTTCCTTTACAGAACATTCCTCTTCTGGCTGGGATGATGAGCCATCACGAATGCTGCCACACGCACTAGGCAGGCAGAGATACATGTGTATGACTGGCCCAAAGGTTAAGTGTATCACGCTTTCCATGAACACTTCCAGTCCAATACACACAGGGCCATGGCTCGGGCACAAGACAAGCAAACATTTGAACATTTATAAATAATGCTCACTGCCTCAGTACTTTAATGTGTGTAAATTTTGTTTTCATTGCTGTAAATATCCTCGTCATCTGCTCCAGTGAATGTCCAGGGCTGGAGCATCCACGAAAAAAAAAATGGTAGTGCTTAGCACCCACCAGCAGCCCCCGTATCAGCGCCTCCCCCACACCCCCAGCACCTCCTGCCCACTGGCAGCCCCAATCAATGCCTCCCCCTCCAGCGCGTCCTGCCCGCCGTGATCAGCTGTTCCGTGGCATGCAGGAGGCCCTGGGGGGCAGGAGCGAGGGCCAGGCACGCTTGGGGGAGGGAGTGAATATGGCAGGAAGAGGCAGGGCAGGGGCGGGGCCTTGGAGAAAGGGGTGGAATGAAGGCCGGGCCTGGAGTGGCACATTAGAAACTTGGCACATATGAATTTAACCCTGCTGGAAGCTCTGCAGAGATGGAGCTGTTTGTTTCTGGTTGTTGTCACTTCTCAGTTGAATGCCAAAATGATTCTTTCCAGGAAGAGTTTTTGGTTGATACCGCTGCTGGCTTAGACATCCTGAATCATACATGCTGACTCATGGCGTGATGAATGCTGCAAGCACCAACATACTAGGTCGCTTAGTGGCCTCTTCAAAATACAAAAGCCTTTTGTGAGGTGAGCAGATAGACTAAATTATAAACCATCAAAAACATTCAACCAAAAAAGGTGAAACCTGTCTTACTGAAGACATATACACACATATATCTCACACACACACACACACACACTTTGTGAAAGAAGTCAATTGTGAGAGTGGTTGTTTAATCCTTTTTATAATTTCAGATGACAAAAAAACCCAACCTTCCTTACTTCCCTAATTCCCACATTGCACAAGTAACTAAACAAACAAAGAACGTGCCAGACGGACAGCCCTGAAAACTTAAGTCTTCTCTCTCTCTCTCTCCAAAAAACAGGTACAGGACAGACAGTGGCTCCGAAATCGTCCCCCCACAGCCAGCTAAGAAACAACTCTAGGAGCAATAGGATAGCTAAATCCTTAACATCTCCAGAACAGCCAACTAACATGTGCTTGGGCATTTGATGTGGAAATGAGACAGCCAACTCTTTTCACATTGACCACTAAACAGCCTGCAAATGGAGGCAGTTGGTCACCATGGCTGGATGCAAACCAATTATTTAAGAGTCTCTATTACTAGTCTCCCCATGCCTCCACCTCAATGTCCAGGCATTAAGAATGCTGCTCTAGAGGTTCACGTAGGGGCTGGTTAAGAATGCTGGTCAGATGAGAGCTTTCTGGAGGTGATCACAGCCTCTCATTATTGTGTTATACCCTCTCTTTTGGTCGTTTATGAAAGACGTTGATGCTATTAAAAGTTACAAATGCATTCATAGAGTAGCTTGGCACACAAAGATCAGCTTTATATTGACTAGCCCACCTGCTTGCTCCTTGGTGTGGTCTAAAAATAGACTATCCCATTAATGTAGTTAATTACTAGATCATCAACAGTGTCAGGTAGAATCCATCGCAGCATGAACAGCAACCAGTAAGCTGCTAGATAAAAGGCAAAATCCAAGACCACTGTCTGGGTATTCTATCGAAGGGGACATAATATAAAATAGATGTTCTTGGAGAACAGGTTTGTATGAATTGCTTTGTTTTCTCCCAAGTAATCAGGACAAGCCTAAGTAAAGAACGTATCCTCATCAGGACCTCAAGAGAGAAACAATGATGCAGTCAAAATAGAAAAAGCAGGGCGTGCCAATGAATCTTGTATGGACACCAAGAGTTGTCGTAGAAATTAAGTCAGGTGCCATGTTTATTCTCTTTCTCCAAAAGCAATCAGTGTATCACTTAGAGGGAAATGATAGAAACAGGGTGGTGAGAGAGGCAATGCAAGATGACTAAACCATTTTTCTGAATGCCCCATATATTTCTGAGCAACTGAAGGGTAAGATGAAAAGGAATTAGGGGATAAACCAAAGCCATGTTGCATGTGATTTGTTTGGGTTTTTTTGAAAGATTAATTGCATACATGAAGGAAATGCGTGCAGAATGTTTCTTTTTAATGTAACTAATCTCAGCCTCCAGATATCACCCTCTCCCCTTACACATATATTTGCGCACCACACTGATATTCTGCCAAAGCATTAATGCCATTATTCCCCTTTCATCCCTCTAGAACCATTTATCCTTCGGCCCCTATGGAAGCCTCTTGGTACACACCTGTCTCTCTAAAACTGGAAAATAGTGATGTTGGTTTCTTAAGGTCTGCTATAGAAGGAGACAAACCCACACCCGTCCTCTTCCCAGAAACCCCCCTAAACAGAGGCCAAAACATTGGGTCTACCTCATTAACTGAGAATAGCTAAGTCAACATTAAGATGATGCACTTTTTGGATAGCACTTTTCAGAGGAAAGAAAGTGTCATTATCCCCATTTTACAGGTGGGGAAATGGAGGTACAGAGAGATGAAATGACTCACCCAAAGTCACAGAGCAGATTGGGGGCCAGGAATGGGACTCTAAATTTGACTCCCTGCTTCCTAGTCACTTGATCACGTTGCATAGGAGTGTCCCAGGTACCATATGAGTATGTTTGATGGAGTTCTAAAGCATGGGGGTGTGGGGGGGGATTATACAGACAGAGTGAAGCACCCAGCCTCTATTTAAATTCAATGGGATTTAGGTGTCTAATTCCCTTAGGTTCCTATGAAAATAGGAGTCAAAGTTCAAGGCACAGCTCTCTTCAGCCCTCCCTGCAGCTGTTCATACCAGTCCTGGTTGCTCCCCTGAATAAAAATACCTGCTATATTTTATTCTTCCATCCCTTTAGGATAGGCAATATCCTTTCAGTGGCCCTCTAGGTTTTATTGGTTTAATTTTCTATACTGTTGGTTCTAAAGGTCCTGTGTATACCCTGTTATAGACTGACCTGTTAAAAATACGGACATTAGCAGCTTTTCAATCCCTGAACAAATCAGGAGTAGTCACAACTGTCCAGACCCATCACCATTTCTTCCCAGAGAGAGTCTGCAAATGAAGCCCAGTTTGATATTCTGAAGTCTCAGACTTTGTCCACACCCATCAACCCAAAAGCAGCTGGGGTAATCTTGCAGTATTTCCACAGCATCTGTGTATAACAGAGCCACTTATCCTGCACCAGTTCTTTCATCTATCGGTTTGCTTCATAATCTCTGCTTCCATCGCCCTTCAGTTACCTACTTACTTTTGGGCTCAGTTTTATACCACGTCAGACAAATTTTAGCCAGTCCAAAAATACCTGCCCTCCCTGTATATGAAGAAAGAGTACGACCTTACTTTACCCTTGCCTGGCGATTTCAAACAAATGAGTTTGTAGCCCACTTTGACATTTATAGATAGATGCTATTCTGCATGTGACTCATTGCTGCGCCAATAACTGTGGAAGTCTACTTTGTACCCAACACATTTGTCATTTACTAACAAAGAGTGGTCAGTGCAATTGAAGTGCTGTAATTTTCCATCAGAGGAGTTCTCTATGTGAAGCAGCCATCACAGGCAAACTAGTTTATTTGAAGCCGATTTTTGTTGTTGGCTTCCTACCCCAATCCCAGATCCATAGCTTTGTAGTTTGTTCCCCCTCTCCCCAGCCACAAAAATTCATACATTCCCAAACTCCTCATGGCATCACCTAGCTGGGTCTGGTACCAGGGAAGAAGGAGGAATCCTCCCACATCCAAAGTGACCGTCGAGCCCAATGATTGAAGTAGCCCTCCATGCCTTTTGTGTGTACATGTCCCTGTGCAGAGATGCATTGGAGGACCTCCTGTAGGGCTCTGTGACATATACGGGGTGCCCATCTCAGCACACACCATTCCAGTCCTGCCTTCCCCTTGCACAGTAGAACCAGTTCCATTGATAAAGGGGAGACTCCCTGCAGCCCTAGCCCCTAAACACAGACTAACTGATATGGCGTGAAGAGCCATGAAACGCCCAATAAAAATCAATGGAAGTCATGTGACTAAAATCCTATTGCAGAAGCACTTGCATTTCTGGTGTCAATGTGACGCAGACTACTAGTGGAAATAGTATGGTGTATATTCCATGAATCAGCATTGATTACACCACCAATCTATTGCCACCCTTCTTAAGTACTGATATTTAGTTTCTTTTAGAAACTATTTGAGAATGAACTTTACCCAGACTGTTCTGTCGACAGACAGAAAGGATGAGTAAGGTGGGACTCTTTCCAATGAGGAAGTTCTCCGTTGATGTATATGTTCCTACAGGATGTTTTGTCACTAGATGTTTTGACAACTGCAGCCAATACATTAGGGTCCATTTCCTATTCAACTCTAGTCATTGGAGAGGTTTCATTATAAATAAGTCATCATGACAGGTCCAGGACCAGAGATCATGCAAAAAGTCACGTGATTAAGTGTCACGACAGAATGGCATTGCTCCCAATATTGTTTTACTGAAGAATGTTGGGCTAAACTACAGAACAGCCGCCATCTCACGTACTAAGTCTCTGGGCTTCCATCGTTCAATTGTATTTTCATCCCTAGATTCTCTCTTAGGCAGCATTAAGGGTTTAGAGAAAATTTTTCATTGAGGCCATCTACAGGAGAGAGATTTCAAAAAGATTCCCAATTTAAATGCTGGTGTGTCTTCCCCCACCTGGTCCACCACAGCCCAAAGCATCCTTTCTGATTTAGTATTAGAGTCATCTCTCTAGAATGCATCAGCATTAACTGGAGGTCCTTCTTTGGAAAACAAAACATGCATCGCTCTCTCTCTCGCACAGAGTTTCTAAACAAAAATGCTCATGGATCATCTCTTTTTGGAGCTTTTCCTTCACATTCTTTTGACAAACAAGACACTTCTCCCCCCCTCCAGAAAGTTGTGCTTGTGGAAGGTGTTGGACTGCCAGCCCTGGAAATGGAAGTTTTCTGTTTTTCCACAGCAAAGGCAGCAGCAGCTGCAGACTTTTCCCCATACTGACTCCCCAAAGTCAAACCTGTCTTAGGCCTGGTCCACACTACCCCCCCACTTCGGACTAAGGTACGCAAATTCAGCTACGTTAATAACGTAGCTGAATTCGAAGTACCTTAGTCCGAACTTACCGTGGGTCCAGACGCTGCAGGCAGGCTCCCCCGTCGATGCCGCGTACTCCTCTCGCTGAGCTGGAGTACCGGCGTCGACGGCGAGCACTTCCGGGATCGATACCAGAACATCGATTGCCTGCCGTCGGACTCGGAGGTAAGTGTAGACGTACCCTTAGAGAATGACTCCCTGCAGAGCTAAGACAGTACTTCAGTCTGAATATTCATTCATTGTTTGGTATTCCACAGGGAAACAACCAGCAAGGGTGCCCACTGTAGCACTATCTGTTTGGTATGTAAGCTCACACTAGTAACTGGTCACTACCAAGCTTAACTGAACTTTAAGAGGCAATGTTGTATTGCCCATTGCAAACCCACAGAAGCTTCCAGCTTTCATCCTCATGCTTCAAGAAAGAGAAATGTTAGTGTGTTAGTGGACTTCTCATTTCAAATAAGGGCTACAGCTGATCGCTTCTGGGCAATCACAATGAAGGGGTGGAGCTAGTCTTGTCATGCAATTTAGAAGTATAGGAACCTTAAACACACAACGGTGGTGACAACAACATCAGCAGTGTTCAGTTTTCACATACTAGGTTTCCCCTTTCACACAACACACCTGTTGCTCTTTTAGTACTGTGCACCATCTGGCAGCGCGGTTGTATACAATTTATACATGAAGACTATGTTGTCTTATAATCAAATACAGTTTCCACAAAAGGATTAGGATTTCAGGACTAAGATAATGTTACACTATTGCTACAGCCAGCTTGGAATAGTGGGTTAAGCTTTCCTGGCACATCTGGAGAGGCTTGGCACAAGAGACTAAGTTTGGTTTGGTTCTTGTATGCTCTTAAAAAAAAAAAAAAAATCAAAGCCATTTTTGCATTCTTTTAGGAAAGAAACCATAAAAAAAAGTGAGTAAGAATTTCTCTAACAAGTGTTTACGGTGACTGCCACCACCTAGCTTTTATGCAATACTTGCCTTCTCTAGATTTCAAAGCACTTTACAAAGGAGGTCAGTGTCATGATCCCAATTGTACAGATGAAGGAAGCAGAGGAATGGAGAGGTGAATTGACATGGCGAGGTCAATCAGCAAGCCGGCAGCAGAGCCAGGGAGAGAACTCAGGTCTATGAGTGGAATCCAGGGCCCTACTCCCACATCCAGGCTTTTGAGGTCTCAGTGTAGTTTTATCCTGCACTCTTAACATTTGGGGGCTCATGGCACTTAAAACAGCAGCTTTGGTTCTCAAAATACTAGTCTTATTTTAGTCTCCATTTCCCCATGGATGCCTCATTGGAAGGGGTCTTCCTCGGGCAGTGACTCTGCTGCTGTCTCCGCAGCCCAGTCAGTTGGCATGGGCCAGCCCTGGGTTTTTATTTGCAGTGCAGACATACCCTAAGAGGCCTCTGGGCCTTGAGACCCGCTGGAGCTGCTTCCTCCCCCTTCCCCGGCCTTTGCGGAGACTCCTCATTCTGGTTCCTTCCCACTCAACTTCACCTGCAAGTCTGATTCAGCATTCCTCTTCCTCACCATACAATTGGGGAAGGGAGCTGCCGGCCCAGGGGCTCACATACCATAGTGACAGGCATGGTAAAAAAAACCTACGCAGATTCCATTTTGTTCACCCTCTCCATGCCCTCCAATCATGGTGGGAGCAGCTCTTAGCTAGGGTTACCATACGTCCGGTTTTTCCCAGACATGTCCGACTTTTTGGTAATCAAACCCCCGTCCAGGGGGAATTGCCAAAAAGCCGAACATGTCCAGGAAAATACCGGCCGGGCACTTCCCCTCCCGCGGCTGCTCTGCTCCTCCCCTGACTCTTCGGCTCTGTTTAAGAGCCAAGCGCTCCGGCTTCGGGCAGCCCCCTTGCCTCCGGACCCCAGCCGCCAGCCGGGCACTTCCCCTCCCGGGCTCCAGCTGCTCTGCTC